AAGGAGATACCCTGGGGAATTGGCATCCATCTATGCAGACTGCATATAGGAAATTAACCAAGTCTGGAACTAGGAGGGGGTATAAGCTCAGCGCCCTTTCAAAATGAAAATGTCTGTATGTGTTGTGGGTCTACATTAAGGAGGACTAAACTGAGCACAGAGGTTATGCACCAAAGTCCAAGCAAGTGCTACTTCTGCTTTTGAGCCAGGACTCTTGATTTTATATGTGACTCTCAGTACATTTCCTCAAGTGATTCCTTAACTACCTCCCTTGTGGCAGAGCTGCAGGCCTAGGACTTCTGTTCATCAAGTAAAGGATGGAAACAGCTTGGGTTTCAACCATTCAGAGAGAAAAAGAAAGTAATGAACAAAATTAAGTGACAACCTATTTTAGCAGCTGTATCAAAGGAAAGGCTGGGTTAGTCAGTTCCAATTTGGCAGGAAGCTGTACTTTGGTGATGTGAAGCAACTGTATCCCCAGAAAACATGGGCATTAAATCTCACAGAAGACAACTTGATTTTGTTCCTGTGGCGTACATTACTTCTAATGCTTAACAAAATACCTTTAATCTTTGTTCTAAGGGAATGTGCAGTCCCCATGGAAGCAAGCCTAACCACTGCTTAGCCATCTTTTGCTTGCTGAAAAATAACGTTGCTTTTCCACAAGAGCTGCCACTGATTGGGGGAGGCGCAGAGGCTGCTCCCACTGCTTACCTATGGTTTGAGAGAGTCTTAAAATGCAGACACTGGTTATTGTACTACTAAGGGCCCCACCCCTGCTCACTTTGCTCGCCAACCCCACGTACCCTCAAGCAATTCCCAGCCCCTCACAGCTCCTTCAACCCCTTAATTCTTCTTCAGCCCCTAACCCCACACAGCACTTTCAATCCCTACCCCTTTGCAGCTCCTTGCACTCCCAAAGAGGTGGGTGGTGGAGCTGTTGCTTTCCTGGGTCCCTGTCACTTATCAAAAAGGGGAGGTGTGAAGTGTGTAGCAGACCTCTGAGTCTGCCCTCTTCCTCCTCAGTATGCAGCAGCACCCCATGGCAATGGGAAGTGACTTCTTCCTTTTGAGTGGGGGGCAGGAACTGTGCCAGGGCTCCCAATCACCTTCATCTGACCCGTTCCTGCCTCTCCTTAGCTGAGTGTTTCCCAAATGAGGGCCATATGGCCCCCTGGGGCCCCCTGGATATTTCAAGGGGTCCACAGGTGAAAGTCGCATCAATGGGTGGGGGGGCACAGAGCAAGGCTAGGGGGCTGCAGAGGAAAGTGAGAAGGACTTTTTTAAAAGTTCTGATTGGCTGGCTATCTGCTTGGCCAATCAGAAGTGGGTAAGGGGGCGGCCCACTAGGGCCTAACGCTGCTTTTTGCCACATGCATTTTCTTCAAGCAGTCCTGGTTTATTTCCAGAAGGAGGGGGCAATTAGGACCGGGGCCTTTGAATGTTGCCAAGGGGCGTAGGCCCGTCAGCAGCGTCGGCCCAGCTGTGCAAGGCGTGGGGTGAAATCCACCCCAGAGCCTAGCCAAGTGGGGTCGTCTGGTGCTGCTGCTGACTTGCATCTAGTAAATTACTGTCTACTCAGAAGAAAGCCACATTGAGTTCAGTGGACCTTACTCCCAGGTAAGGACATGTGGGGCTATAGTGCTTTATCTAGGCAGCCAGGGCTCTCCCAGATTACAAGGTCTCCAGATCAGTGAGGACCACTTGCTTTTTAAATTTCCCCCATATATACAGAACTCCCTGTGCAGCTTTTGGACTGCTATCTGTAGCTTTCCCCCTCCGTGTCAAATAACTGGAATCAAGTAAGGGTTGTTTACTTTTTATAATACATGGAAGATGGACCTCTCTTGGGAGATTCTGGATTCTCCTACCTTGGAGGTTTCTAAGCAGAGGTTGGATGGCCATCTGTCATGGATGCATTTGCCAAGCTTCCTATGTTGCAGGGGGTTACACTAGAAAGATAACCCTTGGGGTCCCTTCCACCTCCATGTTTCTACGTTTTTCTGCTCCAACAATATTTCATTATGTTCCTATCATTTTATGTAATTGTATCTTGTATAAATTATAAAAATATTATAAATAAAACGTGTTCTGTTTACAAACAAAATATTTAAATATCTGCCTTTCTACCAGTAGGCTGGGGGAGGGAATGGGCATAGCCAGGGTTTTTGTTAAGGGGGCAGGCTTTTTTAGGGTGGGACAGAACCTCAGATTTGTATTGATTTTTTCTTATTGTGGGGCAGCTGCCCCCCTGGCTACGTCTCTGGGGGTGGGGGCACCGTCAGAAAAAGGTTGGGAAACACAGCATTAGCTCTATCTTCAGTTTATTTGACAATATGTGCCTTATTTTACTGGGAAGCAGAAGATATAATAGGTTGTCTAATCTTTAAAACTCTGCAACTGCTGTCTTTTACAGAAAATAATTCCAATACTATAGAATTTATTCATCTTTCATTGTGAAATGCTTAATGGATGAAACGAAAGTAGCTAGTTTCAGATCCCATTCATGCCAAAAATAACTCAGCTCAACACTAATGGATCTAAGGCACTCTAGACTACCAATCAAAGGGACACAATGCAGCTAATATAAGCAATGGCAAATCATATTCAGACCTTGCTTATATTAGCCACATTGTGTGTGGGTTCTGTATCTGGGTTTTCGAACTGTTTAAAGCAGTGGTTCCCAATTGGGAGTCTGCGTAACCTACCTTGGGGGTCCATGGCACCACCCACATAACAAAAGCCACCACAGAGATGTCAAAATAAGTAAGTAGGGGGTCACAGGATTGGATTTTGAAAAACAGGGGGTCCACAGTACTTAGCGAATTGGGAGCCACTGGTTAAAAAAATAATTAAAAGCCATTTGATTTTAATATCTGCGTGGGCTAGCCCTCCTACACAAGCTTTTGTGGTCAATCATTCTTTGTATAAAATGTACAGATAAGCCACTTGAAGCATGACCATTGGAATCTGCACCTTCTGGCATATCAGATGAAGACTGAGCATATACCCAGTGAAGAATTGCACTAATTGGCCATTGCTTGATTGTTTTTAAGTGAATGCTGTTTCCTCAAATATGCCCATGCCAAGACCTTAAGAAATAACTAAGCTTTCTCACCTAAATCTATCCTGCATTTAACACTACTGGATTTTGAGCTCCCAGCTTTCAACTTTAACCAGCGGGATAGAGATGTGCAGAACCTATGGCATCTAAAAAATAGAGCTAAAAGGCCTGAAAAAACCAGATTCTCCAACAGACTGAACTGCAGCATCACATTAGCCCTCTTTACCAACATGTGAATGGGCTTTCAAGAACATTGGCTAGCCTTAAATCCTAGACACTGACACATGTCCCCATATCAATGCATGACTGGCATTAATTTGAATGCACCCACTCTCAGATGAAAAAATGTTCCTGTGCCTGTGGAAGGAGAAGCACACACATAACCCCTCTTTAGGTAAAGGTACCCCTGCCCGTATGGTCCAGTCGTGTCCGACCCTAGGGTTGTGTGCCCATCTCACTTAAGAGGCCGGGGGCCAGCGCTGTCCGGAGACACTTCCGGGTCACGTGGCCAGCGTGGCGAAGCTGCTCTGGCGAGCCAGCACCAGCGCAGCACACGGAAACACCGTTTACCTTCCCGCTATAAAGCGGTGCCTATTTATCTACTTGCACTTAAGGGTGCTTTCGAACTGCTAGGTGGGCAGGAGCTGGGACCGAAAGACGGGAGCTCACCCCGCCGTGGGGATTCGAACCGCCGACCATACGATCGGCAAGTCCTAGGCACTGAGGTTTTACCCACAGCGCCACCCGCGTCCCAACCCCTCTTTAGAACAACATAATTTACACATTGACCAGAGTGGAAGCTGGGGAAAGAGGGAAACTGAGAGAAACCAGAATTGATTCACCTATTCCTATTTCCAAATGACAGATGAGGGCTATTGCTGAAACAAGCATTCTCTCTGTACTTTGCATTCTTGTTTGGTAGCCAAACCTACCTAGTTGGGCAGGCAACACATGCCCCCTTTCCTTGTATTTCAAAATTCTTCCATTTTTCCATTGTCATGGGATAAAGAGGAAATTTCTGCTGTTCCAAGGCTAGAGCAGGGAGCACCTATGAATGTGAGAGTCTACTGTTTTAATTTCTCTCTTTTTAAAAATGCCTCCCCAGTCAGATAACCTTGTGCATTTTCACTTTGGGAACCTTTACTCTTTTAGCAGTATCTTGCTCTCAGAGTAAATGAAAGGACAGCAGTCAGGCTCTGACTCAGCTAAGCAGCTTGGTATTAGCGAGACTGTGCTGCTAATTGGTATTCCTCCTTATGAGCCACACAGTATTGTTTCCTTGTCAAAAGCTAAGAGCTCACAGGGGAGAATTCTTGGTGCTGTCTACTTCTGTTAAGGATGATGCTTCTGTTTCTGGTATAAATAGCTGTTTAAAGCATGTGCTGTCTCTCTGGGCTTATTCAGAATTGTTAGCAAAAGGTGGGCAAGAGGCAGCAATTGCCTTGCTTCTGCTACTCGACACAAGATGAGTGGGATCATACTGTGCCAACAGCACCATTTCAACAAGCAAGTCTAACAGAAACGCAATAAAGCATACGTGTTGACCAAATCAGGATTGGAAACTACTTACTTTATAAAACAAAACAGAGACACTCACCCCCCCCAACCGAGTATCAAAGGTATATAATTCAAGTTTTATAGTGCAACCCTATGCATGCAGGACACAATTCCAACTATGTTCAATAGGACTTGCTCCCAGGAAAATGTGTATGGGAGGACTGCAGCCTGAATAAAAGACAGTGACTTAATGTCTAGCAACACATTTATTAGATGTAAAGTCTGTACTGAGTCTGAGACTCTGCCTAAATACAGCTGTCAAACACAGTTTCCTGGGGGGGGGGAACCACAGCAAAATGTCTGTGACCATCATGATGCAGGGTTTGGAAGCTTTTTTTTTTTTTTTTGGTGATGAAACAGTTGCTGTTCTCATTCTTACCATGCATTTGCGATCATCCACCCCTGTTAAATCCTCCTCAAATTCCTTCCCTATATCAAAATCCATGATGTAGTTTTTAAAAGTGCTTAGTGTCTTAATGATCATGTGATCGCCATCTTGAATGATCTCTTTGTCCGGTTTGAGCATATTAGCTATTTTTCTCACAGCAATATTTACATCTGAAGGGAAGAAAGAGACCAGAAAAGAGTTCTGTAAAGATCAAACCTCTGGAGAAGCTCTGAAAATTTTCTTTAAAAAAAACAGCTTGTAGTTCAATACAAAGTGAGGAAGTTTTAATACTTATCCCCACAAAGAATGAAATGATAATCTTGTCAACATATATAGATACTTTTGCCTAAGATTTGGGCCAAGGAATTTGGATTTTGTTGAATTTACGTATCAACTCATCTGTGTACAGTGGTACCTCGGGTTAAATACTTAATGCATTCCGGAGGTCTGTTCTTAACCTGAAACTGTTCTTAACCTGAAGCACCACTTTAGCTAATGGGGCCTCCCGCTGCTGTTGCGCCGCCAGAGCACGATTTCTGTTCTCATCCTGAAGCAAAGTTCTTAACCTGAAGCACTATTTCTGGGTTAGCAGAGTCTGTAACCTGAAGCGTATGTAACCTGAGGTACCACTGTATGTGCTTCACCTGATGGTATGACGACTAATATGCATAATCTTGTTTACTTTGACTAAATGCCTGTCCAGAACCCTTTCTCCTTCGCCTTTCCTTAAGCTCACACATACATTTTAAGGCACTGTCATACCACTTCAACAAATATGGCTTCCCACAAAGAATCCTGGGAACCATAGTTTGCTATGGGTGCTGGGGTTTGCAGCTCTGTGAGAGGTTCTTTTAACAACTCTCAACAACCTTAACAAACTACAGTTCCTGGGATTCTTTGGGATAAGCCATGTCTAGTGTGGATGTGTGAAAGTTGTTATAGAACTTTAAAAATACATTCAACTGAAAACTATTACTTAAGAAGTGCTACTATAGGTATAATATACCTGTTCAATGAGTTTCCTAATCAAATTTGTAGTTCAGGCTCTGCTACTCTTGTTCTGTCCCTAAGACTGTACACTTCCTGAGGTAAAAGGCTTGCTATAACACCAGCAATGTATGATAACTTCTGAATAATTAATTTTGATAATTCAGAAGTGTTTATTTATGCTTATATAGACTTAACTTCTGGATTTTATTTCTTGCTCTTCCTATCGGTGAGGCACTTTAAAATATATAGAGAGAGACTTGGCAATATTAATAAAGAAACTCAGTAAAACCAAAATATTTTCATACAAAAGCCATATACAGTGAAGTGGAACGTTTATGTGATTGATGCTACAGAAGAATCAGATTCAGCCCAAGCGTAGAAGGCATGGAGCTACGGTTGTATAATAAATTAAATTAAATAAATAAAAGAATCTTACCTAATGCTTTCAAATACTCCTCAAAGTTGTCATTGCTGAGCATTTTCCAATAGCCATTGAAATCGGCAGGCATGGTTGGTGCTTGTGTCCTCGTCAATATCAAAGCTTTTCAACTTGTGTGTTAATTCTGCACCATACAGCTCAGAGCCTTTTGCTGAGGCCAAGTCTGAACTCTGGTTTCTTTTATCTGTTCTTCCGGCCATGTAGTTATGCTAGTCCCTTTAAGCCGATTAGCGTCGAAGTGTTACCTTTAAATCCCCCCAAATATCTGAACCTTTTAGCTTGCTAATGACAGCAGGATGGCTTGATTTAAATGGACGAGGTCATTGCCCTTCTATACCGATAGCTGTATGGCTACCGATTAGCTGAGTTTCGATTTTAACTTCTTTCCCTTCCATGCAGCTAAGAAAAGAAGATGGCTTCTGCTGATACACCAATGGCATATCTTAGTGCTGTATGCAGTGGACACACTAGGTGATTCAAGAAGTGGCAAATTATAGTCTCTGGATCGTCTGAGATCGTTGCCCTCTGTCTTCCAAACCTGTACTCCAAAGAGGTATGAAAGTTCTACCACAAAAAAAGGAATTGCATTCTGAATTGCTAAATTTATGAAGGAATCCCTGGGCAATAGGTGTTGGGAAGAAGAACTAGATGGCTATTAGATGGCGGAAAAAGAGCCAGTCATTACTCATTGAGCCTTTTAGTATTGGACTTGCACCCCGATTCCAGTTGTCACTCAGTATCTCCAGCAGGACAGAATGTTTTATTAATCAGCTGAGATAATGCGACGTTTTTGCAGCCTGAGAAATAAGCAGTCCTTCACAGAAACCTATTAACTTCAGTACAAGTAAGCTGGGGGCGGGGTGCATACACACACACACACACACACACACCGTGCAGTACTGCATTATTCAACAATACATTGCTGCTTGAAAAGAATCACTTGAGACCGTAAAGTCTTCTCATCACTTAGGAATACAGCAGGGAAATTTTGAACACGCTGCAGAACAAATAGTTTTCAGTGTAGCATGAGCTCAAGGTTAAATTAATTGAGTTAAGAATTCTAGGGCATTAGCTGCTGTGCCTCTGGATAAAGGCTAGCTCCTTCTCCCATGGGGCGCAAGGTGGCAGGTTGTAATAATCCAGATTCTCATATGTATTTGATGATGCTTAGTTCAGAGTCACACAGTACTTATTTCACATACCTAAAAAATCTGAAAATAACGACCCATCTTCAAACTCTCCCCATTAACATCTGATAGGCATTCTGCTGAAAACAACGACCCAATATCTAAGAAATTCTGAAAGCCGAGGGGTGGTGGGAGAGATCCCCAGAAAAGCCTGCTCTACTTTAAAATCCTGAGTAACAAAGCCTAAGTAATTTGTGGCGCAAGGGGAAAATCTGGCAAGAGAAAATCTTAAAACACACAAAGACAGAGAGAACAGAGGAGCTGCGCCATCTCATGATAGGAGGGAAAACAACTTAATATGGGGTTGGATCTCTATGCCAGCGCCTCCCATTTATGGATTTGTGGGCCATATACCATTAGCTGTGCGAGTTTGGCTTCTTTGCAATGGTGTTTGTGAATAACATAAACTTGCTTACTTGTGTTAATTTACTAGTGTGGGGCTGGAGCTTTTATGTACCAGAGTGGACGGTCCTGGAACAGATATGCAGGCCCCTAGAAGGATCACCCAGTGCAAGAGATGAATCCCTGGAGGAATGTGGCACAAAAAAGCAGGGCTACCAGGAACCAGGCTGTGTCGATTTCATGCCCTCACCTCAGGCTACAGGAGCAAGTAGAGTGGTTGCATACCTCAGAACACAGCAAGGTGGCAGTGGAAGATACAGTGTACTGTACAGAACAATTCCTGATGCTCACCAGAGAAGCAAGAGATGTGTGGTGGCAGCAGCTGACTCCCTATGGAGGGGGACAGAGGCAGCAGTGTGCAAAGGCATGACTCATGGTTTCAGTTGTCTCTACACAAATGTACAGAGTATGGGAAACAAGCAAAAAGAACTTGAGTTCTTAATACAGGATGGCAAATATCACCTAATAGGCATTACTGAAACCTGGTGGGTTGAGACTCATGAGAGGAATGTAGAAATTGAGGGGTACAATCTGCTCAAGAGATATTGATCAAACAAAAAGGGAGGATGTGCCCAGTGAAGTATGTGTGAAGGATGTGCACAGTGAAGTAGGTTAGGCTGAAAGTGAGCAGCTGGCTAAAAATTAATAGCTCATTCCATGAACTTCACAGCTGAGCAGGAGTTTGAATTCAGGCACCCCTTGTCTAAAGTCCAACATCCTCTCCATTATTATATTGCAAGTTCTACCTGAAAAATGGTCAGAAATTGAATCGATGAAAAGTCTGCCATATGGCACCCCAGTTTTGATTTGTCCTTTCAATTTTCCTTGCTTTATTTTCAGCCCCACCCCCAAGCAGGGTAAGGACAAGGGAGTAATGGATGTTTGACAATCACATTGATTGTCAAGCTCTAAAAGACACAGAAGTAGGTGTGTTGAAACCAGTTTCCAGAAAAATGTACCACTTCATTTGCAAGTTATAAACATTCTTCCAAAAGTCACATGCAAAATAGGAATTTTATGAAGCTGTATGCAAAGCAATGTTTTATATATGGTATTCTGCAACCACCAGATTATTTCAGAACGATAGCAGACCCACAAAAGAAATTCAAAGAGGGAGTGGATGTGTCAATACCTGCCCCCCCAAAGCACCATCCCTTATCATCTCACATTGAGCAGGAAGGTTTGAATGGGAGTTTTCTACTTGCCAGATGTACTTAGAATCTTGCTTGTGCAGTGTTATTGGTCACAGGAATACTGTGTAAGCGTACTCAGCCAAACATGTGAAGAAACCCCCTTCAGACAATCCTGCATCTGGGGTAGAACCAATGGAGATAGAGACAATGGGGCTGTCTCTTTATTCTCATACACATTGTCTGAACTGCTGAGTAGGCCAGAGGAAAGAAGCACTTTCAGAATTCTGACTTGTATTCTTCTCTCTTCGTAATGAGGTTGCTGAAGACATTTTTATAGATGATTCCCTGCGTTTGAGCAGGAAGGCAGGCTAGACTTATGTCACTGGCACAAACCACATACAGACAATGCTGCTTTGAAATATTGCCCTGAAGTAATGAAACGCACAACTTGTGTCTTCTGGGTTGGCTGGTGTTAAGATGAAATATGCTGGATCCTCTCTTTTGTTAAATGCTGAGCGGGTGTGCCCCATGGCAGAAAACTGCATTGCTGTAGTACCTGTGTCACTGCAAATCTGTTGTGCCTGACTGGAAGCAGTTGCCCTTCCATTGTGCTTAGATCCAGCTCCATGACCTGCTTAATTTCTGCCTGGTGAACTTTGTAACCAAGAACTAGTATCTGGGTTTGTCTTTTGCTTTCTCCCTCCCACACCTTTTTTCCTTTTGTGTCATGTATTTGAGATTGTAAATTCACACCTGGTCTTTGTTTATTGGATTGCAAGTTATTTCTGAACTTTGTAAGCCACTCTGGGAACCTTTTTCAGCACAACGGCAGAGTTAAAAGACCTTATATAGCTCCCACCCCCTGAATTTATTAGAAGAGCTTGTGAAACACCCATACAGATGTAAAGATGTCAGCTACAGAAAAATATACGTTTTCTCTCTTTGCGTCTTTAGAAATACAAATGCTGCAGTGCTAAAATGCAATTTACAAGAAATATTATAAGTCCATTTATGAAGTGAGGGTGGAGGAAGGCGTCCTTGCAAATCCAGTGCTGGTAAGTGGGACTGCAGGCAACGGCTTGACAATTTTGCAGTAAAGACACTGAAAGCATTGTGGCATTGCGATGTGGTGAAAGGCTTACAAAAATAGTTCACAACATCCAAAAAGAAATGAAAGAAACGAAAAACCTCAAACAAAGTCCAGACATAGAATTATAGGATTGTCGAGTTAGAAAGGACCACAAGGGTCACTGAGTCCAATGCCCTGCAACACAGGAATCTTCTGCCCAACATGGGGTTCAAACCCACAACCCTGAGTTTAATTAAGAGTTTCATGCTTTATTGGCTGAGCTACCAAGAAACAAAAGAAGATTGTAACATCACAATCCCACACCACACAACGTTGGAAGTAAATCTTACGGAAATCAATGGGGCTGACTTACAAGTGAATTGTTTAGGATCGCGTGATATGGGAGCTTGTTTTGATTCACTGTCAATAGTGATACTTAAAATGATAAACTTCTTCGCATAACAGATGGCAAGGCAGAAACCAAATGCAGCAGGCAGTCCTTGTTTTAGATTTCCAGTGCCTATAAATAGACTCCAGTGCTTGCAAGGAACATCAGGTGGAACGAGGACTCTTTTCTTTATTCATTTCAACAAGAGGAAAGTGTGCAAAACTGTCTCCAACGCTGAAGGTCAGTGGGGAAGTCCCTTTGTGAACAGAGATAGGCTCATTCACCAGTTCTTCACCACAGCTTTTGACTGGCGCAGACGGATTTTTCCATAAAATGGATTACTCTCATATTATCACAACCAAGCTTACTTTCCTTTATAGGCATATTGTTTAGGATTGTCACTCTGAGAAGCAGGTAACTTAGGGCTCAACCACACATCTACCTGCTCTGCTGCTTTCCCCCAGGAAAACCCACTGCTTACAGCTGAACTGGAGCAAAAGTCAGTCAGGTTTTCTCTGAATTGGCATTTGCCCTGATTTGGTCTGACAGCGGCTTTTTTGAGGGAAAGAGGTGGGGCAAAGGTAATACTATTCGGACCCATGCCTAGTAATCATAGGAAAAGTGGAAACCCACTCAGACCCATGATTTCTAGGCACAGGATAAGTGGAAGTGAGGACAAGCCCCATATTACCATCAGTCATTAAGAGGGCTGACGACAGAACAATATCGCTTAAGAGGCTGCAGCAAATCCCCTTCATTTCTTCGTTCAGTCTCCTCCGTGTATATATTGTGTTGTTTAATATAGGAAATAACAGAATCTGGAACGAGGTATTTCACACTTTGCCCTTTGCGCAAGGCGTGCCTTATGTTTGTGGCACTGATTTCATTGTGAATCCACTCCCTAACCAAGTGGATATTGTGCTGGTACCTGCTTAAAAGTGCTGACTGAGAGATAAACTGAGAAGGACTGTTGCCAACGCGGCTAATACAAACCAACCCAAATTTTCCCACTATTTCTAAAATGTGTTCTTCCTTCCAGAGGTTAGGTGTTTGAAACGTCTTCAGAACATCAGCTCCACACAGAAGTTTTAACTCAGGGACAACTGCAAGAACATAATAGCATTCGCATTATTTTCTTTTGCTGAAACATCCCCTTTAGATGTACATTTATATTTGTAGTTTATATGAACACACACACTTAAAATTCAACCAGCATCCTGCTAGAATCTACTGAAGTTAAGGCTGCTTACACAATAAACCTTTAAAGCATATTCTTTCCTCCAAAGAATTCTGGGCACTGTAGTTTGCCTCTCACAGAGTTGTAATTCCCAGCAACTCTTAAGAAACCACAGTGCCCAGGATTCCCTGAAAGAATGTGCTTTAAAGGTATAGTGTGCATTTGTAAAATCCTCCATAAAGTGTATTATTTCAAATTGCAAATGGGCATCATATGCCTTTACCCACACGGACCCACCTGTTCCTGCAGTCATTCTCAGAACCCCTCTTGCTTGTGCACACATTCATCCAGCAACAACCAAGAACAAAGCCTTCTCTGTTGTGCCACCAACACTTGGGAGCAGCCTCCCCACCGAACTAAGGCATACTCCAACACTGTTTCACTTCTGAGGCATGTTAGAAACACCTTTCTTTTCTAGCTTCTTCCCTGCCTTTGTCTACCATTATTTTTTCTGGTGTGTGATTCTAACACGTTCTGTCTCCTTTCATCTTCTTCATAAAGTAAATAAATGCAGTCTTTTCAGGCTCTTTCTTCAGATTAGCTTCTACAAGAACTTAATAATAATTGCTGCCCTGGCTGACTCCTTCTCACTCCAGCAATATCCTTCTTTAAAGGATATGAATGCAGGTTTCCAGAAAACGAGTGAACATTTAAGCCCACTTATTATACATCTTAATTTGCTTTTCAAATAAGAATATGCACACTAAGGAAGATCTCCACAATAACAAAATACAGGTTCCTTATTATTACTATTAATAATTTTATTTTGAAATTTTGGAGCAATCAATCTGTTCAAGCTTTAAGGACTGATCCACATATTTCAACAGAGGCAGCTACAAATGTGGATAGGTCCAACTTGTAATGCAAGGAGTTACAGATTCTTTGGGTTTCCAACAAAAGTTTCCATGTAGCAATGCATGACCATCTCTGAGCTCATGCTGAAAGTGGTCAATAATTTATCAGTTTTGGAAATGAACACACATTAAGACCTGAAGGACACTGGCTCTACCACCTTCCCATGCCCAAAGAAGTACAGGTACCTTTGGGCAGGGCAGAGACATGTGGCTGCTTCAGGAGCTCCAGTAGGAAAAAATGATGCTATGCACACCACTCCCACTGGGTTGCACAATCCTTCCCATTTGTAACCACCCTTGATTAAATTCTTTGAAAAATGGGAAACTCATAGAGTTTCCAGCAAACATTTAGAGGTACAGTCATGCAAATATGCATTCATTCCTTCACTATCTCACTCATTGCAACACATAGTTACACACAAGACTCTGCTTTACAGCTGCAAATAAAACGTTTTAAAAATGATGTAAAGTGCAATATACAAATGTGACACTAGATGGTGACAGTGAGGTATGCCAAATTCAATGTATTTTTCAAAACGTTTTTTAAAAAAGCATTTTCACAGTGTGTTTTTTTATATGTGTGTAGAATCTACCAGTTCCCTTCTCTTGTGTTGATGCTTTAGTTGATACTTTAGTTATGACAAACCATTATTTCCTCAGTGATTGTACAGAGAAAAAGAGTGTGGTTCCCATGTACATATGGGGGCAGCCAACTTCCCCACCCACACATATAGTGTGCCTTGTAGCCTTACAAGGGCAATGTACAAAACAGAGAGGCTGCCCCTGTTCCATGGGAATTGCAAGTGGGAAGGGAGCTGTTGAAATTAGGTCCTCCTTGTGAGATTCTTACAGGCATCTAGACTAGACTGATTCAGCAGGGGTTACACCCACACCAATTTAGATAGATAGATGATAGATGGATGGATGATAGGATGTGTGTGTTTGGAAAAATCCAAACTATAAAGCATATTCTGAAGCTTGGGGTAGAGATTTATCTAGCAGGTTCCAAAGATACAAGCAGCCCTCTTTGACAACCAACATCAAATGCCAACATGGTCAAGCAACATACAACACACTATCATCCATCATTCCCGACATTTAAATGTCTATTTTAAAAAATTGTGAGAACAGCGTAAGGCTCTCTCTTCAGAAAGGCATCAAATCTTGAAACCAGAATTGAACAACTAAATGGCTTTTTAAAGAAGGTTGCTGATAGAATCAAGTCTAGAGGGACAAGAAACAGGAATATAACTTCCTTGGACTTTTGAGGGCTACTGTTAAATAATGATCTTGCAGTTTCACAACTGATAATGGTTTTTCTAAACTGCAATTCCAGTAAGAGTGATTCAGTTTCTGTAGCATACTTGAACCTTTTTTTATTTTTGGTAAGGTTCTGAATGGAATATCTGAATCAATACTGGTAGCAAAAAAGTTATTCTAATACTCCATAATACCCTGCCAGAAAGGAAAACCAAGTTAGCTAAAGGAGAAACTGCCATCAGCACAAAGCAGCTAGCTTTAGCAGCCTGCAAGATCTCATTAAGAGACAAAACTCTCAAACCAAAACAGGTAGGAAACCAACCAGGTTATCTGCCCAAGTTCAATTTGAAATGAAATAAAGATCAAGGGTCTCTTATAAAAAGGAAAAGACTACTTTGTATGTGATGCTAAACTCAGTGACCCTTATCGGAGATGTGAAGACCTACTAAAATAAGTTACACAGAAGCAGAAGCGTTTTAAACTGATAGCAGCCCTTGTAAATATCTCAGAGGACCTTTCAAAAGGAAATAGCAAATAACTGAGATGTTCTCAAAAATGGCAGGCTGCTGTTATACTAACAAGAAAGTAGAGATTTCAGAGAAGCCAAGCTCATTGAGAACTCATTAAAGTCCATCTCAAAGGAGATGCAAGCTTTACAAGGGTCTGAGTTCTTCTCCAGCTCAGATTGAAATCCAAGCTGGAGAAGAATTATAATATTTCCTGGTTGACAAATGTTTTGCAGTCACGAGAGTGTTCTCTCTTAGCTGAGCTGAAGAAAGTTTCTGTACGCCACAGATCATTCAATCCATCCCCTGGAAACTCCTTTAAGGAGTCTTGAAGGATGGGCTTTTTTTTGCAGTCAGACATTGCAAAACCTGCTGGATGTTGTCCTTTCAATGTATGCTGCCGGAGTAAAAACTAAGGTGTGGAAGCTTATTTCCCATGAGTGCTCCATCTGCACCCCCACTATTTACCCTGCAGTCTCTTTCCTTCCCTCTGTTTAATGTAATGGCATGACATTGAATAGAGGGTGATTTAAGGAGCCAAAATGGGAATTGTTTTTCTTTGTTGCATACAGTAAGGGGAAAAAGTATTTGATCCCCTGCTAAATTTGCCCGTTTGCCCTCTGATGAAGAAATGACCACTCCATAATTTTAATGGTACGTTTATTGTAGCTGTGAGAGACAGAATAACAGGAAAACCCCCAGAAGACAAGTCAGAGATTGATGTGCATTATAATGAGTGAAATAAGTATTTGATCCCTTTGCAAAAGATGACTTAGTACTAGGTGGCAAAACCCTTGTTGGCAATTACAGAGGTCAGACATTTCTTGTAGGTGGCCACCAGGTTTGCACACATCTCAGGAGGTATTTTGTCCCACTCCTCTTTGCAGATCCTCTTCAAGTCAGTAAAATTTCGAGTCTGATGTGTAGCTACTCACACCTTCAGCCCCCTCCACAGATTTTCAATGGGATTAAGGTCTGGAGACTGGCTAGGCCACTCCAGGACCTTAATGTGCTTCTTCTTGAGCCACTCCTTTGTAGCCTTGGCCATGTGTTTTGGGTCATTGTCATGCTGGAATACCCATCCTTGACCCATTTTCAATGCCCTGGCTCAGGGAAGGAGATGCTTACCCAAGATTTGACGATACATTGTCCTGTCCATCGTCCCTTCAATGCAGTGAAGGTGTCCTGTCCCTTTAGCAGAAAAACACCCCCAAAGCATATGTCCCCTCCATGTTTGACGGTGGGGATGGTGTTTTTGGGGTCGTATGCAGTATTCCTCCTCCTCCACTGACACCCAGTGTGGTGTAGTGGTTAAGAGCAGTAGACTTGTAATCTGGGGAACCGGGGTCGTGTCTCCGCTCCTCCACATGCAGCTGCTGGGTGATCTTGGGCTAGTCACACTTCTCTGAAAGTCTCTCAGCCCCACTCACCTCACAGAGTGTTTGTTGTGGGGGAGGAAGGGAAAGGAGAATGTTAGCCGCTTTGAGACTCCTTCGGGTAGTGATAAAGCGGAATATCAAATCCAAACTCTTCTCCAAACACGGCGAGTTGAATTGATGCCAAAGAGCTCGATTTTGGTCTCATCTGACCACAACACTTTCACCCAGTTCTCCTCTGGGTCATTCAGATGTGCATTGACAAACTGTAGATGGGCCTGTAGATGTGCTATCTTGAGCAAGGGAACTCTGTGGGCTCTGCAAGATCTCAGTCCTTCACAGCGTAGTGTGTTACCAACTGCTTTCATGGTGACTATGGTCCTAGCTGCCCTGAAATCATTGACAAGTCTCTCCCCCCCCACCGTGTAGTTTTGGGCTGCTTCATCACCGTTCTCCTGATCATTGCAACTCCACGAGATGAGATCTTGCATGGAGCCCCAAACCGAGGGAGGTTGTGTTTCTTCCATTTGTGTATTATTGCACCAACTGTTGTCACCTTCTCACCAAGCTGCTTGGCAATAGTCTTGTAGCCCAGTCCAGCCTTGTGCAGGTCTACAATCTTGTCCCTGACATCCTTGGACAGCTCTTTGGTCTTGGTCATGGTGGGTACTTTGGAATCTGCTGGATTGATTGCTTCTTGATAGGTGTCTTTTGTACAGGTACTGTAACGAGCTGGGATTACAGGTAAGACCTCTCCCTTATAGCAGGTGCTTTTAATCTCAGCTCGTTACATACAGTGAAGATATCAGGTAGCCTGACATCTGGCTGGTTGATAGGGGATCAAATACTTATTTCACTCATTATAATGCACATCAATCTCTGACTTTTGTCTTCTAGGTTTCTGGGGTTTTTCCTGTTGTTATTCTGTCTCTCACAGCTACAATAAACCTACCATTAAAATTATAGACTGGTCATTTCTTCGTCGGAGGGCAAACGGGCAAATTTAGCAGTGGATCAAACACTGTCCCCCCTCACTGTAGTTAGTATTGCTATTGTTAGTATTGGTCAAAATAGACCCACTGAAATTGATGGAGGTTAACTTAGGTTATTGGTATGGGTCTACTCTGTGTAGGACCTTGCTGAACACAAGCCTAAGAATAAAAAATGATCTGAGATCTTTCAAAATTTGTTTCTTGAGCTAAATCTCTGCATGCTTAGCGGAGCTTGCCTTTCTCTACAAAAAGTTCTTCCTTAAGTTTTGTTGTTGTTTTTTAAAGCAAGCGTAGAAAATATAATTTAGAAATAGTTAAGTAAAAGGGGTGTTGCAGATGCTGGGTTGGAACCAGGGCTCCCTCCATTTGTTGAAGGGACTTCCTCATGTTAGAGGAAAGTCAGCATAATTCATGGTTGTGGAATAACCCCCCCCCCCAAGGTGAGTCTTGCACCATCGTTGTAGGCTTTTTGACAACTGGTGGAATGGATGCTCTTCCATTATCCTGCATTGCTTTTCTATACTCCTGTTAACTTTGCTGTTGGTTAGTTTTGTGTTTTTATTTTACGATTTTTAATAATAATTTGTACTGGGACTATTTGGAGAAGGGCAGACTGCAAATACAAATCATATATCTATATGTATATGACCCTGGCCTATGATCCACGGGACAACTGGGATAACAGTAGTTACTAACACATGGTGCAAGGTACATATGGAAATTTTTAGCATCAGGCAAGCCTGTCAACAGCATGGGAGGGATTAAACCTAGCTTGGGAGAGATAAGCTAAAATCATTCACTGCTTGCAGGTGGTTGAAGAACATCTGTTGGGGTCTTGACTATGCATTACTAAATAGGAATTAAAAGCTCATTTAGGAGTACATGCAGGGAAGAGCGAGCAAAACTTGGGAGGAAGAGAAAAGGGCTAGAAAGGGAGCTAATCGGGAATTAAAACAAAAAAGCATACTTGTGGTTTTAAATTGAAATTTCGGCATCACTGGAATCCGTAGCATTTTCCAGGTGTTCAGGGAGGTAGGTCATGACACAACCTACGCACATTCATTACTGTACTGCTTCACAGGCTCTCAAACTACAATTTGAGACATTTTCTTTCATTTTGTGAAACATGAATGCACACAGTGATGCAATGGCATTGCTGTGGCAGGCTCTACCTCTGTACACTGACATGTACAACTAAACACACAGAAATAAATTTCCCTCTGATTGCAAATCCTGCAAAGTTGTCAGCTGCTTGGAGAGAGCTCCCCACATGCTGTATGTGCAATGGATGCGAGGGAAATCTTGAGGCATGATAACGAACCACAGGTAGTTGGTAGGGCAGAACCAGCCACCATGATACCAGCAATTCCTTTGTCCACACCTGGGAAGCTGCATGAGATACATCTCCCACAGCATTAGTTTCCCAACTTTTGACCCCTGGCTCCAGCCACAAGCATAAATAAATGCTCTATTTTCCTACTTAGGCATGGGTATTAATCTGATAAAGGTGCAAGGCATTATCATGTACACAAGGAACACTACCAAAAGCAGTAACAAACCTGTGAGTGATGAAGCAAACGATGCTCCGGCAGCCTTTTCTATGGGCCAATTGTTTTCTCCAGGCAGTTCCTTGATATGGTGTGATTTAAGCAGTTCTTTGTAATGGTGCCTGTGTTAAAATAAAAGGCTCTGTGTAAGGTAATCCTCTCAGAGATACACAAAGCGATTATCTTGCACTTTCAGTTTCTAAAACTCAATCGGCTTTTGTGTACTTCAGGGCTTAATTAGATGGCTGGAGAACTTGCCATATTAATTCTGTGCATTGCAAGATTTGTGTCAATGGCGGCTCACATTCTTGTCCTAACTTGAACATCTTCGATTGACCATTATTTCTTTTTAATGTTGCTTTTACTCCTCTAGGAGATGTAATGCATGTAAAACAGTATCTTTTGTTGGACTTCAGCTTTATAACACACAATAAAATGTAATAAAGATTTCAGGCATTTACAGAATAAGCTGCAAAATGGTCACATAAAAAAAAATCGCTCCAATTTCAAAAAGAAGAGAACAACAAAAAAGGTCATTGACTAGGCTCGAAGTTCTTCTTTGAGAATGTCCTATAGAATGTTTTACTTTTTATTCTTTTGAATGGGAGACACCAACAACATAACAGGAACTGCTTAGTTAGCTCCACAGTTGTTTGGATCCAGGCTGGCAAGGAAACCAGGAAGAGCTTTCTAAAAGGTGAGAACATAGAAATATGGAAGGGAACAAACGGAGTAACTCAGCACGGCAAAGCTTTGTCAGGAGATAGGTAAAGCAGATGCTCAGGGGTGTGAGGCAAAGGTGGCCTGAAGCCAACAGTGACATCAAAGCTTCTTAGTTGCCCAGACCAGTGACAAGCCTGACCCAGATCCTATTTACAAGGATCAAAGTGTCTCCCATGTGGCCTATTTGCATCAAGAGGCTTCCTTGCTGATGTGACTGGTCTCCTTTGGGGAAGGTTGGATTGGGACACGTTGAATCGTCTCCTCACATTTCCCAGTTGATAGCAGTTCAAGACTCACCATGGAGTTGAATAGTGAAATATTCAAACACAAGCCTGCAGCTAGATTCCAGGAGCAGTTTTCTTCTACAATCAGAACCTATACCATTCAGTGTTGCTTTGTTTGTTATAAATTGAACCCACTACTCTACAGGCATCCAAATGTAAGGAATGTAAAGTGAGCACAATGAATATGGTTGCCAAAACCGGTAGACAACTGTAGAGCTACACTCTAAGCAAGCTGCAAGCAATGTGCCAAACTTATTCCGAGGCCTACAAAGGTTAAGAACAAGCTCAATTCACCTCCATATGAACTTCCTCACACCTGAATAAGCAGCAGTGTTGTAGCTGTTTAAAATGTTAAAGACAGGAAGAAGGATTTCCCTCCTCTTGCATTCCTCTACTGGGAGATGTGCCAAAGCTTGACATCTTAAGGCTGCAATCCTATCTATATCTACACTCTCCTGGGAGTAAGTTCTACTAAGCTCGTGGATGGGGGGAATTATTTCTAAGTAAACATGTATAGGGCTGTACTGTAAGTTAGATACATCACAACTAATGCTGATTTGTTTTAACTGATGTTAATGTTGTATTTTTTAAAATGTTGATATACACTCTGGAACCTCATGGTGGAAGCAAATAAGAAATCCCAAGAAATAATAATAATACAGTGTTAATTAAGAATAAGAAAAAAGCACCAGCTTTGGAGATGCAGTTTGCCCGCTGTAATTCTCACAGTTTGATTCAGCTAGATATATGATCAGTGTCAGGAGTGCTGCATAGAAAGAGTCCAGCCAAGCCGAGACACAGTATGAGTTGAGGATTACAGAAAGTACCAAGCTATGTGACGAATATACATTCATTTTGTACAGAGATTTCAGTTTGATTATATTTTGCACTTTCAGCAAGCAGTATGTCAATCTACTCATATTGCCTAGCTTTTAAAGCATAAAGAACATACTTGCAAACTTGAATAGAAGGTTTTTTTTCCTTCTCTCCTGACAATTCTCAACACCTCTTCCCAAAGTCTGGTGTTGATGCTTTCCAGATGCAGCATCACTAGACATTTTACTTATTTATAGAAGTCCTCAAAGATTAAGCAAAGCAGCTTGTGACAACTGCCTAGCAGAATCTGTTAAGCATTAATTGAATATTGTAATTTTACAGGACAAGGAAGAATGCATGCATGAACTCTCAAATCATTTCTTTTCCCGTATATTTTGTAGAATCAACAGCAATTCCTTCTTGTCAAGACTGAGAAAGGAACATAATAATAATAATAATAATAATAATAATCAAAATCTAATTTAGATTCCAGAGCTGCAGGAGGCTGGATTAGATGACCCTTGTGGTGCTTTCCAACTCTACAATTCTATGATAAAGCAAGATGCAATGCTATTATTGAAGAACTAGAATATGATCTGTGACAGACATGAATAATTGTCAAGGCATGGAGACAGGAACAAGAGTATGTGCCTCCGTAGAGAAAAAGTAAGTGGGAATAACAGAATAATCCTTGCACTGTAAACTAGCATAAGGATCAGCACAACAGAATGGTAAGCAGGTTTTCAGTGCCTTCAGAAGCGAAAAGTACAAGTGCCTAAAAGAAGGACTGTGCCTCCTGGCTCCATGGGAGAAAAAGGTAGAGAGACATCTGAGATGAACTCTGGGAAATAGAATTTTGGCTTCTTTAGTGAATCAGTTCTGCAGGACTATGACAAGAATATCCAAAAACTACAGAATGAGAAAATATCCAAGTGACATTTGTTGCAATGAAGCACAACGTACCCAAGCCTACAGAAGCCAGACATTAGCAAACAACTGGGTTCACTATTTTAATCTGATGCATATCAAAAGATGTCAGGTGGCTGAAGCAAGCAAGCCGAAACTCAAGAAAGCACCCAGATTTTTTGGGGGGTGAGGACAGGCGGAAGGAAATCCAGGATCCCTAGCTGAGTTAACCTGTAGAAAAAACCTTCCTTGTCTCACAAGTGAAAGACTGACAGACGTTTGATCTGCATAGGTGTTTTATTGAAATGTAAGACAAAAACACTGAAGTATACAAAGGATACAGGCCTTCCTGTGATCAAATGAGCTTTGACACAGCCCTCCAGTTTTGTGTCTGCCATGCCACAGCAATGAAAAATGCATTCAGACACCTATTCTAAGCCATCTTTGTTAATGATGACAATGCCAGACAAAGTTTTCCTTATATGAAGCAAAAAACAAAACAACAACACAATCCAAGGTGGGTCTTCTAAGGACTTCAGATTGTTCAACACACAGCCTTAGAAAGCACAAGAGACTTGGCATGAGGAGCAGAATATAAATTTAATCACAGGAAAGCGAACAGCATCTGTCTGGAAGGAAGAAAAAAATACTACCAAAAGACATTTGGATGAAGCAGACATCAGAGAGTCATGGCTGTAAATGAACCTCAGACAATGAAACAGAAAGCTGGGAGGTACCATTTCATCACCATTTATCTCACAGGTGCAGATCCCTTCATATGTTAGTGAAGGCGTCACAATGAAAAAGGGACAATGGCTTTGTGCAGCTGGCCCTGCTTCCAACATCACAGTTTACCCCAGATCCATCCCCAACATCCTAGGGATGGATGGGTATAGCTGGGCAAGCCTGAGTACATAGTTCTTCTCTACACACAAAGGCTTTCCTAGGAACTGAAGTCTGCACCATCAGGACCTCAGGGATGCCCATATATGCCTAAAGGGCAAGGTCTATGTGCATAGACATCCCTAGTTCAGATGCTTATGAGTGTTACAACCTGTTGTAGATTGGGAGGGGAAAACTCTCTTTAGAGGAAGTACATTAACAATGTATTCCTATGCACAGGGGGATGTTTACTCCCAGGTTAAGGGTGAGTAAGCTCCACAAAATACAATGGCAATTCTGAAATAAACATAGACAGAACTGAGCTGTAAATATGTAACACACACTTTAATAAAGTGATTGGTAGAAATATCTATACAGACTTCTTGTTGGAGAGGAACACTGCATTACGAGGAGGGTAGCTGGACTCACCTTTGAAGTTCATCCATTTGGTTAAAAAGTGTTAGTTTTCAAACACCAAAGGGTATTTTCACTCAATGTTTACAGTGGCTTAGATCAGGCATGTCCAAAGTCCATTTCAGGGGCCTAATCTAGCCCGCTGGTCGGTTTAATCCGGCCCCTGTGGCAGTTTATTTCCTGGGGTAAAATCCTTAAAAACCCCTCAACAACTTCAACCCTAAATAAAAGGTCAACAACTTTGGTTGGCCCTCTGGTTTCCCCTCACGTCCCTTGACTTCATCAAATCAGACTCTTTGAAAAAAGTTTGGACACCACTGGCTTAGGCAAAAGTTACCTAGTACATGTGATAAGTTGCTGCACACTAACATGTTTGATGCAAAGGGAGAGCTTCTACAAAAAAATAATAATCTAAGTTTATTTCTACAGGTATGACTCAAAGATTATGAGAAAATATTGCTCCCCTACCTACAAATTAGCTACAGGCCTAATTTGTTGGCTTTGAAGAACATGCATGTTTAGCTAGCAATAACCTAAAATAGAAAAATATTTATTTAGCTTTTCCTGTTATGCCATGACTGGAACTGTATACCGCGATTAGAGTATTCTTCACTCAGGAAGGTTATTGTTGTAATGAAATATACATAACAAGATAACACAGCTTCCAGACTTTCCATTTAACCCTCCGCATTGTGTATGTGTGAAACCATCCAGTGGCCTGGTGGGCTTCAGTACCCCTTTAAAAGCTCCTGGCTCCTTCCCTGGGAGATCAGCCACTTCTTCACTGTAAAGCAGCCTGCCAGCTTTACACTTCCCCTAATCCTTCTCAAGACATTTTTGGTACACCGAAAGCCCAGATTTGTAAAAATGTAGCATAAGACCCCACTCACTTGAATTTCCTTAGCTCATTCTGCCCTTGGCGTATAATTTTGTAGTGCTGGCAAAAGATTCCTAAAATACAGCTTATCTGAGATACCCCATGATTCTTTTGATTATCCAATGCAGAAGGAACACACACAGAAAGACATCATCATTACCTGAGAACCACTACAGTCTCACTCCATTGCCTTTGCTCACTCTCCCAAGGGTCTACTCTGATCCAGTCGGAGGTCTCCAGTGCAAGTTGAGCCATGGCTACACGATGCTTTGCTGCTGCCAAACCTTGCTTTCCATAGTCATCATTAACTGGTGAAATTATACCTCCAATCACTCGGTACTTTCCTTGGTACAGGGAGAAAACAGAAAGGGGGGGAACAGTCCTTGTATATCTGTTTTGTAATGGTGATAAATGAGGAAATGAAAATTATGTAAACAATAAAAAGCATTGTTCCCTCTCCTTGGCGATTAAACTGTTCTAAGTTCTATTACTGAAGCGTCAACTCCATTAGATAGTACTAAAAGGAAAAGTGGATGTGTGTAAAACCTTCTGCAAATAGAAACATTTTTCATTTATAATGCATAGGATTAGACAGACTGAAGATAAGGCTAATGAATTTTTAGTTCTAGCAACTGTACCAGAACAGTTTCAAGATAGCGCAGTTGATGAATGTTTTAATTGACCAGTGTTTATTTCTTAGTATCTGATGCATACTAGCTAACAAGATTATCATGCCTTATCCACATGCTGAAGGAATAATGCCATGTTTCTGTAGATGTTTTCTGCCACTCTGCTTAATAGTGCACAGCAAAGCAAATCAGGACAGTCAAGGGAGAAAATAGTTAATAAGAAAGGTTTTTCAGACCAAGACCAGAATGCTATGAAAGAAAAAAAGAGAAATCTTTAATTGGGCTTATCTGCGACAAAGATCTCCATCCATATGATTGACCACGTTAATTAAAATGGAAACAGAAGCTCTTATTCTTCAACAGTGCAATGAAATCTTTGATGTAATAAGATTTTCAAGGCAGGCCCTAATGTCCTCAATTGAGGTTGGGGAAAGTCAATATGATGTTTTCCTAAAAGTTATCAAATTTATCCAAGTATAAATAGCAAGGGAAGCCTGCAGGAATACAAGCTTTCATCCATCTGTTTCCCAACACTCTGGGGTGGATGAAAATGTCTAGCTAAATAAATGATCACAAATATTTTCATGGATTAACTTTGGCAACAACGTCAACCTACAACTAATAAAATATATAGCATTACTTATTGTGAACATGTGAAGCTGCATGACCTATCCAAGTTCAACCACTGGTCCATCTAGTGCAGCGTTGTTTGCTGACTGATAACAGCTCTTCAGATCTTGAGGGATCCTTCATGAGATACTGGGGACTCGGTCTGGGACCAAATTACCGTATTTTTTGCTCTAGAAGGCTCACTTTTTCCCTCCTAAAAAGTAAGGGGAAATGCGTGTGCCTCTTATGGAGCGAATGCAGGCTGTGCAGCTATCCCAGAAGCCAGAACAACAAGAGGGATTGCTGCTTTCACTGCGCAGCGATCGCTCTTGCTGTTCTGGCTTCTGAGATTCAGAATATATTTTTTCTTGTTTTCCTCCTCCAAAAACTAGGTGCGTCTTGTGGTCTGGTGCGTCTTATAGAGCGAAAAATACGGTAATGCAAGATGTGCATACCACCACTCAGCCAACAATACCTCCCCCATTGCCTTCTTTATGTGCTCCACAGTTCATCACTGCAGTTCTACACTTTATTGGTTTCTCTAGTTTGTGCTTTCTTACAGCTATTGGGTGGTACTCAGCAAAATAACTGCACCAGTGGCAAGGATTAGTGTTAGCACAATGGGATTTGCCCCTCTCCTCCCATGTGGTCCCCAAATCTGCTCTGGGTAGTTGGGAGAACCGCTGAAACAGATTTAGAGGCTGCATGGGGGGAGGAGAGCATTCTATTGTTCAAGAAGAAATATTTGCACTGTTGGAATCCACCTCAGGGCTACACTGAACACAACCCATTATCATCTGACTTTCTAGCTGGAGCTGCTCATTTTAGGCTAGAGCAGCCTATGAATTTTAAAGCTCCTCTTGCTATAATTTAACCAGCTGTAAATTTTGCCAGTATCCAGGAAAAGATCTCCAAAAAATATTATTGCCTAATGTGAGCCCTCACCCTATAATAAAGTAGCAAAATCCTTATCTATCTTCTTGGCATGAGTCAAATGATTGCTCTGACATTTTCCAAAATCTCAGGGTTAGCAGATGCTTGAGAATGTTTTCTAGCATATTTTTTTGCAAGTAGAGGCTATACATGAACTAGCCATGATAGATGATTTTTCTAATCTTTTTTTTAGTAGGTTCCAGTAATGGGCACTCTAGACTTTGCCAGAGTAATTTATGGCCTCACTTCAGTTCTACACTTTAATAGAAAGTGCAAACCTTTCTATTACAGTAAAAAACAACAACCAAAAAACTGAAATGAGGTCATAAAGTGGCATCATGTTTATTGCTGACCAATTACTCCAGGTCATGCTCACTACAATTAAAGTTAAAAAGTAGTTCCCCTACTTGTTGCCTGAGGTAGAAAAATAAAAGCATGCCTGACTTGTATGTTGATTCTGCAGCCATTCTAAATGTAAGGTTAGCTGTCTTGAATGTGAAAGAATGTGTAAAAAATTAAAAGCTGCCTCTTCAGGCCAAGGGCTTATTCAAACATTCCTGCAGTAGCATCAACACCAGTTTTCAAAGTCCCTCTATACCTTCTAAGAGGACATCTATAGCCAGGCCAAATCTTAAAGGTAAAGGTAAAGGTACCCCTTCCCGTACAGGCCAGTCTTGACAGACTCTAGGGTTGTGCGCCCATCTCACTCAAGAGGCCGGGGGCCAGCGCTGTCCGGAGACACTTCCGGGTCACGTGGCCAGTGTGACAAGCTGCATCTGGCGAGCCAGAGCCGCACACGGAACGCTGTTTACCTTCCCGCTAGTAAGCGGTCCCTATTTATCTACTTGCACCCAGGGGTGCTTTCGAACTGTTAGGTTGGCAGGCGCTGGGACCGAAACAACAGGAGCGCACCCCGCCGTGGGGATTCGAACCGCCGACCTTTCGATCGGCAAGCCCTAGGCGCTGAGGCTTTAACCCACAGCGCCACCCGCGTCCCTCCAAGGCCAAATCTTAGATCACAGCATGCAGTATGCTTAGATCACAGCATACCTACGGCATGAAAAACCCAACTAGAGTCATTGTGGTGGTAGAGATGTGGGGAAATTGCCCAGATTCCAAAGCAGACTCACATGATTCAATCTAGTCCACATCCGCATCATTCTGCAGTTATGCAGAACCCTCCCTAAGGCAATATGTGGACTGACGCAATGCCTGGTCTCTTTCTTTTACATTTTTTAAAAAAGCAATCTAGTTGGCTAGTGCGTGGTGCTCCTTGCCACCATGTGCTCAGTACTGAAATACTGCAAGTCCGCTTGAGACATGGGGATAGGCATGTCCCATCCAACTCCAAGCAAGGGATCATCAAGAAGACTTGCAATATTTTAATACGGGGGTGCAGAAGTGCAAAACACTACACATGTGCATTCTGGTTAGTCACTGAAATAAATTGATTCATTCATACACATGAGCTGCTCTAATCAACTGGACTCTCTTTTTTAAAGTTGTAAAAGAGCAGGGCTGCAGCACTCAGACCACATCGCAAGAACTTGTATTTTTCATCACAAATGTTGCCTTTGTGCTTCCCTGTGGATTTTTAAGGACTTCCTTCAAATTTAAAAGGATTTTTAAGGACTTCCTCTTAAAAGACCACACAGAAATGCAATATGCTTAGTCCTTTTTTCATGTAAAACTCAGATGGACTGGACTTCAGTGGGTCTTTCTAACCCTACTTTATATTTTAAAGTCAACTAATCTAACTCACCCATCCCAAACTTATCCAAATTCTGCAACACAATTTTGCTCAAAAAAGTAGAATTAAAAAAGAAATTTTATGCTGAGAAATGTACATTATAGAGGAAAATGCACTGAAAAGCATACAAAAGATATACTAATGGAATGGAAGGCATACAAAATGTGTACAAAGTGTTTAAAATGTAAACACACATTTCTCATGCTTTTTTAAATCCACAAAACAACAACAACAAACAAACCAGACGAGATGTATACAAACCTGGCATGAAAATGCAAATCAATCCCTTGGCTGCATTTAAACAGCAGTTTGTTTATTTCCCTAACTGTTAATTTCCACATTAAATCTGAGCTTTCACAGAACATAAAAGCCACTTCTGAAACTATAGTGGAATATAGCGCATGTTTAGCACTCATTTCCATATTATTTGCAAATAGGGTGTCCCCCCCCCCCCCGGAAGCAAATAACACAATAATGAGCAATAAACTTGTACTATATTCCACTATAGTTTCAGAAGTGGCTTTTTCACTGTATGAAAGTTCAGATATATACTGCAGAACTTAACAGGGAAAAGTCATGAAAATGGAATAAAGCGGCATTTGAATGCAGTCCTGCTGGTTTGTGGGTGGGGGTGGTCAGAGCATAGTTGAGGGCATGCTATGCAGGGAATGATTTCCAAGCCTTGCCTGGGCAATCTGATAACTGCCTGCATTCCCAGGTGAGTCGCTGAGAGCAAGACAACAGCAAGTTATATCAGCTGTAAAGGATCCTTTCTGGTCATGCAGCCGTGCACTTGCATTTGGCCAGGGCGGCCAGTCTGCACCTATGAACCTGACCCTGTCTCTGTCACTTTACTGCTTTGGGGATACAGCTTAATGATCACATCAGCTCCAGGAAAGCATTCGAGGAAGAGATGTCATTCCTCTGGATTGCAGCTGGTGCAGGGCCAGCAATGCAGTTATACTCTTTTTCTTCCTCTCCCTGCATATAAGAGCTGGATCATGTTTTATGCGCATAATGGATAGAAAGATTGGAAACACTGAAGGTTTTAGATATAATTCCTATGGGTGTTTGCAGGAGGAGAGGGGAATATTTCTCACTATTATATGGCTTTGTTTGGTTATCAAAGCTACACCAAGAATAGGAACGTAAAGTAACAATAAATTTATATATTTATTTTATGTCTTTCAGCACCTTCTAAGCTCTGAAGGTTTGAAAAAGGCACTGTTGCCATCTTAAACAGCATTATCACAGATTACACTCTAACCTTTTCTCCAGATTACATGGAAATACCTTATCATGCAGTATTTAATTTCCCCAAGTTTCATTCTGTAATGGAAAATCAAAGTTAAACTCATGCCAGCAACTGCTGTGACATTAATTAAATCTGACACTAACCTGGCACCTGGGATCAAGCATTTTA